TTTTTTTTTTTTTTTTCCCCTGGAAGCCCTTATAAACACTGTTCTCACTCTTATAGGCACCTTTGAAAGGCTGATGGGTATACTTTTTATACAGACCACAAGGAACTAGGAGTTGGCGCTGAATGTCCTGTCATAAAGTCACGTTGTATATTAGCAGCTATATAGGAACTTAACTCTTGCATCCAAAAATACCTACTTCAAGACAGATTATCTCTAAAACATTTCGAATCATCTTCTAGTTGCCTGCAAAGAAGAAAAATAGAAGCAAAAAGCAAGCCTGTATGGCAAGATGTTTTACAGAACTGCACATTCTCTTTCTGAATGCAACCGTGATGCACCAGTGTTTAAACACTCTGTAACAAGCCACATTACTTAGCAGGAAACAGTACTATCTCTCAGAGACACTAAAAGACAAAAGCAGAAACTGCCAGTCTTCCTGTTATACTTCCTGTTTAGACTTTTTCCCTCTTTGAAAAAAAAAATCAATTTATTTATCTAATAACTTATGCTCTTTGTTGATAATTTTCAAGAGGATGTATGAAGGAGACAGTAACTCAAATTTTCAAATCACATATAAAAAACCCAGTGCTTCAGGCAAAGTATCTTACCCAGGAATATGAACAGCTTGTATTCCAGTTGCTGATTTTTGGCTCCTCTGAACATTATTGAACTGTTTACAATCACAACTTAACATTCTGTAATATATCTAAGTTAATAACTATAAACTACACACACACACACAAATAATAGGAACTCTAGTGGCACAGTGTTTAAAGCATTTGGCTACTAACCAAAAAGTTGGCAGTCTGAGCCACAAGTGGCTCCATGGTAGAAAGATGGGGTAGTCTGCTTCTGTAAAGATTTACAGCCTTAGAAATCCTAAGGAGTAGTTCTACTCTGTCCTTTAGGCTGACTATGGGTTGAAATCAACTTGATGGCAGTGGGTTTGGTTTTTGATTTTATATATATTATACTTGATTTCACTGGAGACTACAAAGAATTACAGGTGACATTTTAACGTAACATTAAATGTGTAATCAGTAAATGCTTAAATTTTTTCTTCCAAAGAAGCAGGAATGGTTCAGTTGTACAATAAACTATTAAAACAGATAAACTGGATGTATTAAATAGCATTGATTCCAAAAATTTAAAAGAAGTGAAAATATACAATTTTCATAGAAAATCAGTGTTGACATCTATATTATCACTTCCAAGTTTTTAACATTATGAAGAAATAACATAACTAAATATCCAAAATAATTAAAAAAGAGAGTACCATCACAGCTAAGAAAAATTTAACATTAATTTATTTTGGTGTTATCATTTAGAAAATAAAGTTCTGTTATGGGTGCATGGCATATGAAGTCAAGGTATTAAATATAACAACACAAAACATATTGTTTCACTATAGGAAATCCATTAATGACCTTATTTAGTTAACAACTAGCAATGAAAGGTGACTCATAGTTTTCAGTATGCTTGGCCATTAGAGTACTTTAAACACCTGATAGGAGCTCTGGTAGCATAGTGCCTAAGGCACTTGACTGCTAACCAGAAGGCTGGCGGTTCAAACCCACCAGCCACTCCTCGGAAGGAAGGTTGGGCAATCCTACTTCCGTAGTGGTACTGCCTCGGAAACCCAAGGAGGGGTCGCTATGAGCCGGGGCTGACTCGACAGCAAATAACAACAACAACAACAAACACCTGATAATGTGAAATGGGCTGGAATACAGGCTACTACCATTTTTGATTTTTAGTTTGCTTAACATTTTTTATTGCTAGAGACAGCAAAGCTCCCAAAGATAAAAATCTTGAAGCCAAGTCCAAAAGAGGAACCAGTCTCAATTGCAAAACAGTGTTGTCATCTTCAAAAAGGAGATGATCAGAGACAAAGGGTCAACTGATACTTCAACAGCCTCTGCCAGTAATGACAGACTTTAACACAAATTACCTTCTTTTTGCATGCCCTTTCTCCTCATTCCCACAAGAGCAAACTCCAGTCCTTTAAGATGATGAACAAAGTTTTAAAAAAGAAAAAGATATTGTTTACCAACAGTTAGATTTTGTTTAAGAGTTAACATGAAAATGAAGAGTACACTTTTCCAGAAAAGGGCCCTGGTGGCATAGTGGTTAAGGGCCCAGCTGCTAACTGAAAAGCTGGAAGGTTTAAAACTCCCAAGAGATGTGGTAGTCAGCTTCCATCAGGTTACAATGTTGGAAACCCTACAGGGCAGTTCTACTCTGTCCTATAGGATTGCTATGAGTCAGAACTGACTCGACAACACACGGTAGCACTTGCCAGATGACAGACCACAGAGGTTCTGCTTTAATTTTACCTAGTTGTATGACCTGACGCATACCTCTCTGTGCTTTAGCTCATAAAATAAGGTTTAAGATCAGGTCCAGTTTCTACATTCAGACTTATAACTGGTTTCTCATGTCTGTTTGCCTTACCTCCACAAGACCAGTACTCATTGCTCTGCCCTAAAAGTCAATGTCACTGGAGGCGTGGGATGGAAAGGGGATCTGTACTTATTTTATTAGTCTTCTAATTAAAAATTTGTTTGAAGAAAGAATATCGTAGTGTAAAGCCAAAAAAAAATTTTTTTTGAAATCTAAACTAGATCACAAAATGTTTCAAGGTAAAGACTATGAGGTTTAGTTCTTTTAAGTGTTTCTTAACACCTAGCAGAGTGCTAAGACTACAGACATCACTCAATAATATTTGGCTAATTTACAATGACACTGGCATATTGCTAATGCCTGCCAGTGTCTGACATTAGTGATAGATAAGTTAAATAGGTCAGTGTCTATTTTAAGGCATGCTGCCATTACTCAGAATATCAATACACATTTTGTCCTCTTTGACCTTAGATTTTCAACTGTAAAACAAGGTTAATTATGAGGTTAATACTTAACAATATGATAATTCTAGAATGGACTTTCTCAAGTCTGATCTTTTCCCGACTATCCACTTGCTTTCCAGTGTGTCCAGGCTGATGAAGGGTGGGAGAAATGGAGAGAAAACAATTCTTGTGGCAGGTTTTGTGCAAAAATTCATCTGAGTGATTTCTAAGGGTGCATATGTGTATGTATATACTACAAGGATACCTTGCAGGAACTCCTTAACTGATTTCCAATTTTTATTTACTATATTTTGATGTGGAGGGATGAATGGAATACAGAGAAAGTGAGAGGCAAAGTTTCTCCTGCTGACTGGACATTCAACGAGCTTTGGTTTAGGACTGGGAAGCTCTTTAAGAAAATTAAACCCTTTCCTTTCTTCCTTTTAAAAATTGGGGAGGGAAAAAAATTAGAAGAAAATAAACCTAAGTAAGATTAATTATCTCTATATGAGGTTATTACAGGTGATTTCTCTTTTGTATTTTGAAAATTCATATAATGAACAAGTAACAAATGAATAGCTAGATAAAAATATTAGCTTAATTATTTTAACTTAATCTCTTAAGCACTAAAGAAGATATAGTCCAACATGTTCTTAGCTAGGAGTAGATCTAAAAATTCCTATTATGTTAGTCTTAAAAGTTCTTGTAATTTTCTGTGAGATAATCTTTTATTCTTCTAAATGCAAATATAAGTATTTTCAATCCTCTGATCCAGGAGCAAAATCCTACAGCTGCATGTTATACCTGATTTACTGATTTAAGCATCATACTTGAGATTATGGGATTTGAACTCAAAAGAGATCTGGGTTTGAACCTCTATTCCACCTTAAGAGCATAAACTCAGATAAGTTACCTCACTTCTATAAAAGGGAGATAATAACTAACTCACAGGGTTGTTGAAAGGATTAAATAAACATATGCAAAAGTCTAGCATATATCAAAAACTCAATAATGCTTGTATCTCTTGATGCTATGATTTTTCCTGTTCTTCCACTAGAAGGCTATGTCAGCAGGTACTGTTGAAATTATTTCCACTTATGTGTTATATTTAATTAGTTTTAGGTTGTATGTAGCCTGTGATGGAAGACTACTGATGACTGATTGAGGCAGGGTAAATGAGGAATATCCAGGAGGATACTTACTTTGCTCTTCTTACTGCTGGACATTTTATTCCTGATGTAGCTGAATGTACGACTGACTTTTGTTCCACCCTTTAATTCAAAATCTTTCTTAGAAGGACTTGGTGGCAGGAAATGGCAGTTTTCTTCTGTTATACTAAATAAAAAGAAGACAACTGATTTTTTTTTGTTTTTTTAAGGATTACAGAAGTCAATTTGAAAACACCTAATATGTAATGTTTTGTAACTTTCATTGTCATAAATTACTTTACTGACAGTCATAGTCAACTTATATATTCACACCAAAATGAGAACCAGAGTAAGAGGACAGACTGAGTCTGCTAGATGGTTTTATACACTCTGCCCTCTGCTGCCGAAAAATGGCTACATTTTCAACATCAGCCATTTTCAATGACCTGATGTTAATTCACTAATTACTGTATCTGAAATTTCTTAATTTAAAATAGGATTCAATTCATAAACATCTTTGCATCAAATAGGTGCTAGAAGGAAAAGCCGTATTTGTGATAGATAAGGAATTATTAATAAAGGTCATAAACCAAGAAATCTATATGACTAACTGCATAGCCAAGTTCCTTACAGTAGAGATCACATATCTTTTCTACTCTTTTGGTATACTAGACAATCAATACTGCAGATTGGTTAATACAGCTATGTACAATTTTAGGAGGGATTGTTTTGGCATGAGTCAGAGCAGACTTGATGGCAACCAACAATATACTGAATGGCAGGCAGAAATGAGGCAGAGTACAGCAAGATTCATTTTAGGAGTTTAAAATGGATTCAAACTTAGTGATCTGTTTGTTTTAGGAAGACTACATAAAATTCAAGTCCATCCAAAAGGACATGTTTTGACCTCAGGAAATTCATAATGGTTGATCTGTTCAGAGAATGCTGGGTAAAGGAACTTGAATAGGGGAATCCATTTGTACTACTTTTCTTAGGTGTTTCCGAAAAGTTAATTTAGAACTTTCCAACAGAAAGTAATGAGAGGGAGGCAGAAGCACAAGGTTCTTTCTTCTTCAACAGCTAAGCCTACTTGCATTCAGGAGTGCCATGTAAAGGGTTGTTGACAAAACTAAGGAGTCCGATGCTAAGATACAGGGGAAATGGTGTGAAGAGCACTGCTCTAGAAAGATGAAAGAATAAGGAACCACAGACACCATTCAGTTGAGAATCCTGGATCACTGAGCTACAGTGATACCTTTGTGAAAAGGAGCAAAACTTAAAAAATTGCAGGTCAACAACTGGAACTCCAATCGGGTTCTTGTTCAAGTGTTTAATTTCATCAGTACGAAAAAAGAAATATAAACTAAATGTGTCAGAAGAGAAATCTTTTGCCTCCCATCAAGAACGAATTCATGTAGTTAGGCAGAATTGTATACCACATCCATGTATACAGAATAGAATAGCTTTAAAGCTTAAAATGACTATGGTAGCAGTACCACAGGAACTTATTACTAATTGAGAATGTTGTCAGACTTAGGAGTTAAGACTGTCCATAAGCAAAGAGTGCATGTTGATAAAGTAAATATAAATGTGCCTTTACATGAATAAATGCAAACAATAATCTTTATCATTAGAGTAGTATAAAGAATAAAAGTGGAATATTAATAAAAATATTAATTAAGATACAGTCTTCATATTAACTGTGTGAACAACTGACATTAGACCAGAGAATTGATGGTGCCTGGCTATCATTATTGAACATTTTGATTAAAGAGTCTATAGAAGAATCCTGACTAAAAAGGGAAAACGTAAAACAGAATTCCAAATTCTCATGGACTCTAGACTTTCTGAAACCATGGAGGGTAGATAAACCCCTGAAACTATTGCCCTGAGATAGTCTTTAAACCTGAAACCAAAAATATCACCTCAAGTCTTCTTAAAACTAAACACTAGTTTAGCTTAACCAGTATAAAATGTCTGCCTTGAGCATATGCTCTGTTAAGATCTATCTATATGGGATCAGACTGACAACAGCAACTCGGAAGATTAGACAGGAATCTTAGGGGGCAGTGGATTTACATTAACGGAATAGGAACAGCTCAGAAAAGAGCGTGAAAATAGTTACACAACTCAAAGAATGTAATTAATGTTACTAAATTGTCCATGTAGAAACTGTTGAATTGGTGTATGCTTTGCTGTGTATATTCTCAATGACAAAGTAATAAAACCTAAACAACAACAACAACAAAGATACAGTTTTCAATATAAAACCTTTTTAATCATAATTTCAAATTTATTACTGAAGAAAGAACTAAATTAGGTCAGTTAACTTAGCTTGCTTAAGTCAAATGGTGTAAGATATTTTGGATTTTGTCTTGGGAAAGGAATAACAAATTAAATGCATTGTACCTTTCGGTTAGATTAGCACTGGTGTTATGGAAGAGCCGTGTATCTAGAAAACAAAAGAGGAAGTGACAAAGTCAGAACAAAAGTATTTTACCATGATAGATATTTAAAACCAGTATGTGGTACCCCCTTCTTCCAAGTGTTTGGAAGGAGAAATTACACTAGAAATCATTAAGTTAGCAATGGAAATATGAGCAATAAGGTGAATTTCCCATGAAATTAAAATGAAAAAGTTTAATCTGCGATTCAATAAGCTGAACAAATCTAAAGTTGCCATTTTTACTTCTGCTTAAACACTCATGAAGCATGTTTTATTCCTGCTCTTATCACTATTCAGTTTTCACAGTCATCTTTCTGAGATGACACCAAAGAAAAAACTAAAATAGGAAATAAATGTCATATTCAACACACTCTATTAATTCTGCTTTCATATATTTCCATATTAGAAATCTAACTAGTATGTCTTGATTTTTTTTCCAGAAATGGATTAGTGACTAGGAAAGAACATCAGACCTGGCTTATACTCTTGGCCCTGTCACTAACTTGGGGTTAGATCTCTAGTCAGATCTAACTAGATCTCTAGTTAGATAAGCAGGGCAAAAAGTAGAATAAATAAGTAATAAATAAAGGAACATTACCACTGTTTTGATCTACCATAAGTTAATGTATTCTGGACTACTTTAGGACTTAGAAGAGTCAGGCCTCTGTTGTTTGATCAATGATAAATGGTTTTCAGTTTTTAGGAGAGCAGGTAGAGGATTATTTTCCACATAAGTATTCCAGGGACTCAGGGTTGCTTAGTACCTCCTGCTGTAATGTGAATCACAGATACCAGTTTTCCTTGAGGTTGGTTTCAAGGATCTCTGAGGTTACTGTGAGTAAAACCTCAGACTCAAAGATGTTCTATTACTAGATTACCAGGATTTGAAATTCTTAAACCCCCAAACCATTTTAGATTCTGAATAGCAATGCAAAATTAGATATTAACATAAATAGAAGGGTAGTATAAGGTATAACCAAAAAACAGAAACTCAAAACTCACTGCCATCGAGTAGATTCTGACTCATAGCGACCCCCTTTGGGTTTCTGAGGCTGTAAATCTATATGGAAGTAGATTGCCCAGTCTTCCTTCTGTGGAGTGGCTAGTGGGTCTGAATCGCCAACCTTCTGGTTAGCAGTCAAATGACTTAGGCACTACACCTCCAGAAAATTCAGTCTTCCAAAGATTACCTTGTATACTTTCTACTATTTCCTATTTGGGATTTTTCTTCCATTTCACTTATGTGCATGGTAGCAATAGTCAGGTGAGTAAGAAAGATCAGCAGAGTGAGACTAAGATCTAGCATGTGTTCCCTAGTTAGGATCCATCGATCAGGTGCTTTAGTTTGCTTAAGCAAAAATCCAAGAGGCTGGTTTAGGTGGCCAGTGGCTTCAAAACTCTTTATACCACAGAACATTCAGTGATACCAGTGACATTAAACTCCTTCAGGCCACCAGGATACAGTCATACTCTTAAGCAATTGCCTAACAAATTACCACCTTAGTAATCTAAAAAAAAAAAAAAAAAAAAGAAAAGAAAATCATAAAGTAGATAAATACCAATCAATATAGACCTAATTAAAACTAAGAATAAACCCTTAGAAGATTTCTGTTGCATCAACCAAAAACTGAACAAACATATGATCAGGGTACTGGGGGAATCTATGATTCCTTTAATTTCCAAAATTTTCACTGTTGAATAAGTTTTAAATTCAGTTACAAGGATTCCCTTAGATGTGATTCTCAAAACGGTGACTAATTGTTAATGCCTCTGAAATCCCTAAATGTCAAGTTTTCCAAGCATCTCAGAGTATGAAACAACTAGGATTACTTCCATGATATAATTGTTGTTGTTGTTGTGTGCCGTCGAGTCGGCCCCGACTCATAGCGACCCCTCTTTGGGTTTCCGAGGCAGTATCACTACGGAAGTAGGATTGCCCAACCTTCCTTCCGAGGAGTGGCTGGTGGGTTTGAACCGCCAGCCGTCTGGTTAGCAGGCAAGTGTCTTAGCCATTATACTACCAGAGCTCCCATGATATAATATAATTAGACAAAAGCAAAAAACTCTGTCATTTAGGTTAGGCTGGGAAGTATTATTTCAGGTTAGTAGAATATTTCAACTAGGCTTTTCTCAAGGCATAAAATAGCCTTCAGACTTGTAACACTATATCCAGGGACTGTTGGTTGGAACCACTGGATGCACATGGTCAATATTTTTCAACGTTAAATCTCATGAGATGTTAAACATTGTTGTTAGGTGCCGCTGAGTTGGTTCTGATTCACAGCGACCCCATGTGACAGAGCAGAACTGCCCTATTGGGTTTTCTAGGCTTTAATCTTACAGAAGTACATTGCCAGGTTTTTCTTCCACACAGCTGCTGGAGGGTTCAAACTGATAACCTTTTGGTTAATGACTGAGTGCTTAGCTGCTATGTTATACACAGACAGGCATGCACATATTGTGATTTCCAAAGTTAGTAAGTTTGGAAAACAGTATATTGAACACTGCCCTGGAAAGTCATCATGTACACTTTAAACCAAACCCAATGCCACTGAATGGATTGTGATTCATGGCAACCCTATAGGACAGAGAAGAACTGCCCAATAGGGTTTCCAAGCCTGTAAATCTTTTACAAAGCAGACTATTTATTCTTTTTCCTGTGAAGCAGCTGGTGAGTGAACCACTGACCTTCTGGTTAGCAGCCCAATGCTTTAACCATAGCATGACCAGAGCTCCTCTGTTGTTGTTATGTGCCGCCGAGTGCGACTCGACTCATAGCCACCCTTCCTTGGTTTCCTAGGTGGTATCACTATAGAAGTAGACTGCCCAAACTTCCTTCCGAGGAGTGGCTGGTGGGTTTCAACTGCCAGCCTTCTGATTATCAGTAAAGTGCCTCAGGCACTATGCTACCAGAGCTCCTAGAACTCCTCTACACATTAGCTTTTCAGTATCTCTTTAACCCAGAGTTTCCTAAACCTATTTGGTCATGAACTAATCTCTTTCTCCTTTTTCCTCTCGCCCCTCCCCCCCTACATAATTCTTACTGGTTATCTATGACTTTAAGGAATACATTTGAGAAAAGATGGGTACACGATTTAAAGATCTCTCCAGCTTCTATACTTTTATGGTTCCATTGTGTTAGATTAACTGTTAGGAGATTATAATTTTCTATCAGTGGCAGAAGAAATACTAGTGGAACCCTGCCTTATTTGCCATGCTGAGCTATTTCCCAGCATATTTCTTGAGATGAAACAGCTTCGAGAAGTTCTGAACATTTGCAGTTATAAGTGGATTTTTACAACTTCCCTCCTATTAAAATTAGTGTAAGGTGAATTAGCCTCTGTCTTTTTGCCAAATATCTTTTAATAGAACTGAACACCTATTAAGATCTCCATTTAAAAGCAAATTAACAACAGATGAGTGAATAAACAAAATGTGATATATACATACAGTAGACGATTACTTGGCCATAAGAGAAATGAAGTCCTGATAAATGCTACAACATGGATCAATATTGAAAAAATCATGCTGAGTGAATTAAGTTAGTCACAGAAGGACAAATATTTCACGATCTCACTTATAGGAAATATTTAGAATACGCAAAAGTAAAGAAACAAAAGTTTAATAGTACCAGGGGCTGAAGGAAGGGGGAGGTCACTGCTTAAGGGCCACTGAGTTTCTACTAAGAGTGATGGAAAAATCTGGCAACAGTGGTGATGTATAACATGACGAACATAATGTTACTGCACTGTTCATGTCAACGGCAAAAGTTTTGCTGTATGCATCTTTACCACAATAAAAAAAAGCAAAATAACTAAACTTTGTTATTGTGCATAAAGCATTTTCTTTTAAGAATGATGCAAAAACACCAGGCTGTGCAATATTTAAATACTGCTGAAAGCAAGTTAAGCAAGTGGTAAGGAGTCAGGATGCTCTCAATCATGTGGATTATTTTCATCATCAGTTGCTGTTGTTCTTAGCTGCTGTCAAAATGATTCTAATTTATGGTGATCCCATGTATGCAGAGTAGAACTGCTCCACAGAAATTTAAAAAGCTGTGACTCTTCAAAACCAGATCACCACGCGTGTTTTCCGAGATGCCTTTGGGTGAGTTTGAATTGCCTACCTATCAGCTAGTGGTTGAATGCTTAATTGTTTGCGCCACCTAGGGACTCCTCAAATACCAGAGACTCATTACATCAGTGTATGATATGAAAACTGTTCATTAGGTAACTTTAGTTCATAAATAGTTTTTCTGTTAAAAAAAATAGCAGTAAGAGCATATTCTAGAAATCTTCAAACTGGAGATAATGATTTTTTACAAGAGAGAGAATTCATTTCTTTTCCAAGTTTACTATCATTGTTAACTGTAAACTTTTAAAAGTTAGTATTATCAAATAATCTGGCTTATTGAAAAGACAGAAAAATAAGAAAAATGTAAGTTCACTAAGAGACAATATAGGGTCTAATCTCAAAGGCAAGGTATTTTTCTAGAAATGGTCTGAGAGCTAAGAAGAAAAAAGGTATAACAATAGTTTTTTAATGCCACAGATGGATATCTAGCTATCTGTCCCATGAGATAGGAAATTGAAACAAGGAGAATTGAAATCTAATTATCTAATGGGAAGTTTTAAGAAATCTGTACTCAAAAGCTACCAGGTAGAAACACATCCCTTAATGCCTTTAAAGACATGTGTATTCTGGAAATGTCTTGCACCCTGGGAGAAGACCACTAGATCGATCAGTATAGGCAGTGTACAGAAGATAAACAGTTTTATCCAAATTAATTTTCAAAGCAAAGCATAAAGACAAGTGATTTAGGAAAGTTAGCATGCAAGAGGGTAAGAGTCCCCAAACAGTGTCTTAGTATCAAGCCTACAGCATTTTCAGAGCTGGTCAAAACCGGGACAACAGCCATTGGACACCAAGGTTGCTTACTTACTATGCAACTCCTCCTCCTCATCACTGGAATAAGAAGAGCCAAGAGAAAAGAGAGTTTTAGACTTAAGAAGGAGTGGGAGAGATGGTGATGGAGAAGGAGATCCGCCTTGCTGGCTGCGTCTGTTGCTGGGCTGAGAAGTGGTTAACAGAAGACATTAGAGCATGCACAGGTTATACCGGGACAAAGTAAAAGGCACCTCAAACCCAAGTCAAAGCAGAATAATGTCACTGCCTATCTTGATATAGGAAAAGTGGTCCAGGGAACAATGTAATTTATTCCCATATTCATCTTCATTTGTCAAGATGCAAAATTCTAATTCAGTACTTAAAAAAATCTATCAAACAAATATCTCCTTGCTCAATTACAAAAAAAAAAAAAGAAGTAAATTATTTGAATAGGTTAATAATTTATAGCTGGAGTTTTCTTCATTGTAATATGCTAAAAACATCTTGAGTAGTGCTGTTTCTCAGGATTCTGCAGTTTGCTCTTTCTCACTCAAAGTCTCTTCATTCACACCCACCTCTTGAAGTACAATCATTATAAAATAAATTGCTGACTTCAAGCCAGATCTCTCCTTTGACCTCAACACTCAATCATCTCACCCCTCACCTGTGGGTGGGAATCCCACAGGCAACTGAAACTCAGTAAGTACATGCCCTAAAACTGCCCTTCCTCCTGTATTTCTTAGTTTGGTTGAGTGGTACCTAACATCTAACTAAAACAGAAAACTGGGCACCACCTTTGAATTCTTATACCACACTTTACCTCTTCATTTTGCCTTCTAGATCTCTCTAAACTTCTAATGCCACTACTGCTCTCTCTCTCTTGTTTGGGCCAGCATCTACTCTCATATGAAATTACCAATAGCTTTCTACTGATCTACCAGCTTCTGGACCCCACCACATTCTCACTGTGTGATCTGCCTGAAAGGTCACCACCCAACTTATATCACTTAATGGCCCTCCATTGCCCTCAGTAAGAAGTCAGAAAACCTCAGCCTTGCTTTCCACAAATTATCCACCCTGCTAATTCCTAGTTTTTTTCTAATCTCAATTTTTAGATTATTTCTCCCCCATAAGCCTTCTCTGATCCCTGAAGTTTGAGGTTTCTATCCCAAAAACATTTCTTTCAGTTCTTACATTTATTATTTTCTACTAAGATTCACTTGTTCTCTTGTCTGTATCTCTCACTAGATAGTAAGCATGATGTACAAAGGAACCATATCTATAAATTCTCCCCCATAGTTCAGGCTGGTGACTAGCAAAGAGAACGGACTCAAACATTAACTGAACACATAAACAGTAAGTGAATGTACTTTTATCAAGTGTTCTGGAAATTTAGTGCCCTAAATGAAACGTGAGAATAAGCCCTCTACCTGCTCAATATGAAAGCTACTCCATACCCCAGATAAATGGTGAGTGCCATCAGACTGTCTGCATCCACTGTAGGTAACAGAGGTCAAATGTGAAATGTTGGCATGAATACATGTACACTAACTCTTTAGTCAGTAACAGTCTTACATTTTAATACGTGTTCTAAAGTATTTCCAAATGTGAAGCAACTTTAGGACATGAATATGAGATCTCTCATTATCTAAAATCTTTATTGAATCTGAGTCCCAATGAAGGTTCTGGATCATAAAGAAAAATCCATTTGTATGAATATTCTAAAGAATATCTGCAACATATAAAGAAATCTTCAACATATATGAGAATAAGACACTCTTGTTAACACAGATTCAATTTTGTAATGTACTCAAATTAAACTTAAGTAGTTAATGAACATGCATATATTACAGCCTTACAAACAAGTTAAATAAAAAATTCTCTGGTAGCATAGTGGCTAAGGCACTTGATTGCTAACCAGAAGGCTGGTGGTTCAAATCCACCAGCCACTCCCCGGAAGGAAGGTTGGGCAATCCTACTTCCGTAGTGATACTGCCTCGGAAACCCAAGGAGGGGTCGCTATGAGTCAGGGCTGACTCGACGGCACATAACAACAACAACAACAACATAAAAAATACTATTTGCCTGACTACACTTTTTTTTCTTTCTGACACATTTGCCAATGCTATCTTCTCCTAATAAAATGATGCTAAGAAAATATATGTATTCTCATAAATACACATCCCAGTGTGCACACTGAAAGAACAAGCACAGAAAGTAGAGATAAAACAGCCTGTGTTTCTCATTAGCATTGAACCTTAACTTTCCAGACATCTACCCTACTCCTTGCTCACATGATCTTGAATCTTTATACATCATCATATAGATATGTAAATATCCTAAGATCAACTTCGTTTTCATAGTTTGATATTTGTGAACAACTCTACAATTATAAGGCATATATAGGAAGCATGGCAAACTCACACCCATTGAGTGACTATGTAAGAATCATCCCAAGGGCAATGCCATTGTGCACACCCCTTTATTATGATAACAAATCACACAAAACAAAGGGTTAAAACTTCTTTTGGGTACAATTCTCCTTTTAACATTATTGCCACTAATATAAGTGGATCCCTGGTGGTGCAGTGGTTAAATGCTCAGGTGATAATCGAAAGGTCAGCAGTTCAACCCCACCAGCTGCTCATGGGAAAAAGATGTGTCAGTCTGCTTTCGTAAAGATTTGCAGCCTTGAAAACCCTATGGGCCAGCTCTACTCTCCTATAGGGTCGCCATGAGTCGGAATTGACTCAAAGCCAATGGGTTCTGGCCTCTGATATTCTTACAGTTCTTTCAGGGACACAATCAAGCAGTATCTCTACAGTTTTAAGCATCCTCTGGGTGTAGGCCAACAAAAATTATACATATGAGGTTGAGTCTTGGAAATGGATCATCTGTAATGACTGAGTAACTGTGCATATGCAAAAATTAAGTTGATTCTTAAGTGTATCCAGAAACCATCTAAGTTTCCTGGCAAGCCTGGAGACAAAGGCAACACTTAATTCTCTGATGCAAGAATAAGAAATGCTACTAACACATTTCCCCAAGAGACTTCTCTGAGGCAGTTCTCCCAGACATTATTCCACCGGATACAGGCAGCGTCAATGCTAATTTTGATTCACTAAAAAAATGAGCAATTATGGATTCATTACGTTCCCCCAACAAGTCAGCAAATTGACGACATGAGCTATGACAGCTTTCCTACTCTTTGCGGTTCCTAAATAAGCTGCCACTTGTATACCTTCCACCTGGAAAATTACAGAGATATTTTAGTCACTACTTTATGCAGAATTTTCTTCTACATCAATGTTTTTTGAAACAGATCCCAGCTTAAAAATAATGCTTCAGGTTTGCCTGTTTTTCTAATCTAGCAAATGACCCAATAAGACATTCCAGACAACAGCTCAGCAGACATAACATTTTCAGAAGTAATCGAATGTTAACTAATAGCCATGAAAGACTGGGGTCAAAACAGCTACCTTCTATAGAAGGAAGAATAGATAGTAAAGGTACAAAGTTGGAAAGCAGTGATACAAGGGTAATTTTAAGCATTTTGTTTCCAAACAACAGTGATCACTTATACAAAGTAATGAGGAATATATGTTTTAGTTTCTTTAAGCCGTCAGAGAAAAACAAGCTCTGGCACTATTCTGAGCACTATGAACTAGAACACTCCAGAACTATAAGGAATGCTTATTGTATGCCAAGGAATATGCTACGTATTTTCAATAATTTATGCCTCATCACATTTAAGCCTCCTTACAATGTTGAAGTAACTGAGGCAAAGAGCTTCAGTAACTAGTTCTAGGTTACACAGCCACTAAATATACTCACAACAAAAAAGATTAGCTAACTTATTTTAAGTATACCAAACACTTTAGTTTTTAAAATCACTTTGTAGGTTTTAATTATGACATTTCAGACAGGAGGAGCACAACCAAAGATGAATTACATAGCGTATTTGAGTAATTTGGAATTAGAGATTTGAGTCTGTGGCAAATGGAGAAAATAGCCAGTTATCCAGATGCTTTAAAAGCTTACCACAAGGTCTTGAACGGGAATTTTATTATTCTGTTCAACAGTCAGAATTTTAACATCTCCACAAAGAGTCATCATGTTTCCAGAATAAAAAAATAGAGCTGGGGAAAATCAATTTAACTATATACGCGTAGGAGCTTAGGGTAGTATCACTAGAGTTGATTAGTCCTCCAATTATAGTATATGCTGCCTTATGGAAATAAGAGGGAACATTTAACTAATTTATGACATAATCATTCAAACCTGCATGAAATACATGTGTATTACAAATCAGAGAGAGGGTGTCATATTTTGATGAAAGGATAAAACCCTTGCTTGAAGCTCTGCTCCTGACAGCAGTATGCTGCTAATTTCAGTTCTCCACAGCGAGTTGAGCAGATTTTCCCAGCTACAGGAAGAAAAGCTGTGCCAGAGATTCTGGAACCTTATAGCAGTGTTTTCTGGGAGTTAGCTGCATTATTTATTAACAGTGTTTGGATAGCAACTGAAAACACAGCCACAATCTGTCTTGCTTTTTGGAAGAAAAATAACAACGAAGTGTTTCATCCATCAGGAAAGCATATGTTTCACATAATATAGGAAAAAGATCTCTTTGTGGGATACATTCTGTTGGTACTGGCTATCTGTTGCTATTGGAGAAGAATATCGACAATGCCACAGCGCTCGCTAGTCATGGAAGCAGGGTACACTGAGCTGAACTATCTCACTTAATGGGTTTTCCTGAATTTCTATGACTACAGAGCTCTATCACCCCAGGCTCATCAAAGCCAATATAAACTATTCAGTTGTAATTTTCACTCCATACTAGCAAAACCCTTAATCCACACCAAATCAAAACCAAACCAAACAAAAACAGGAGAAGTTTTTTCTATTACAGTTCTTTGACATAATGTCTGTATCTTTGAGAATAAGCCATCATTAGACTGGTTCTAGCAAACAGGCCAGATTTGCATTTAAAGTGTTCTCCATATGAGAAAGAAGACTGGAATCATATATTATGTCCTAATTCCACTGTGGAAATTAAAAAGATTAGGCCTCTAATAAGTCATGACCTGATATAGAGCATTCTATTACTGAAGGGAAATGACTTCTGCCTCCAAGTCTTTTAAATTTAATTTCTCGTTAAATTCAGTTAAATCAGTGGATACTGATGAAACACCAGAAACAGCAGGAAAGTTTATTCATTTTGCTTCAGCCTCCCCAACAGATGGTTTTACTGCAAAGAATGTAAGTATCACTTCTTCTTTGATGAAAATGTTAAATCTTTTTATCAAGATTTTCCCTGCAACTACTCATGAAAAACATCAGTATTTTTTTATATGCATTTTATTGAAATATAATTTATGTACAGTGAAATACATAAAACTAAAGTGACGTGGGTCAACGCATTTTTTTTTTACAGTGTTCCCTCTCCTCCCCTCCCACCCGTCAACCAACAAAGAAAGTTTCCCTCCATATATACACCTTTCCTTGACCCTCCACAACAACGAACTAATACTGTATTTGTCCTTCTGTGATTGACTTTTTCACTCAGCATAATGTCCTCCAACTTCATCCATATTATGCAGTGTTTTGCAGACTCTGCATTATTCTTTAGTGCTGCATAGCATTCCAGTATGTGTATGTACCATAGCTTGGTCATCCAGAACTCTTCCGCTGATGGGCACGTAGGTTGTTTCCATCTTTTTGCTGTTGTAAATAGTGCTGCGAAGAACGTGAGTGTACATATATCTGTTCCTATTCTGGCTCTCACCTCCCTAGGATACATACCTAGTAATGGGATTGCTGAGTCAAATGGTATCTCCAATTCCAGCTTTCTAAGGAATCTCCAGATTGCTTTCCACAGTAGTTATATCACTTCACAGTCCCACCAGCAATGTATGTGAGTCCCAATCTCTGCACATCCCCACTAGCATTTGTTATTTTCTGTCTTGTTGAACCTTGTCCTCAGTGCGGGGGTGAGATAGTATCTCATTGTTGTTTTGATTTATATCTCCCTGATGGCCAATGATTGTGAGCATCTCTTTATGTATTAGCTGGCCACCTGAATGTCCTCCTTAGTGAGGTGTCTATTCATGCGTTCTACCCATTTTTCAATTGGATAGTTAATTCCTTTGTTGTTGAGGCAGAGTCTTCTATAAATCTTAGAGATAAGTCCCTTGACAAACATGTAATTATTGGCAAATATGAATTTATTGCTGTCATTTTTGTTATGTATTTTTGTGGTGTCAATTTCTTTGTTCCATATAATTTTCTATGCAGAGCTTGTTTTGTTTATGAATCATGTTATCACTTCCTTCATTACTATTGTTTTAGTATTTGCTAAATATTTATGCTTGTCCTCTTTTTTATTTTGATGTGAAGGTTTATCATTTTTCTTTTGAGGTTACCCTGTGATTTATAGTTTTCTTCCCAAGTTTGGAACAGTCTGTTCTATCTTGTAGTTGTCTTGATTTCCCTACCATCTAGAAGTTCTGTAACGACAGTTTTTTCCCTCTTCTTGGTTTGTAGCTGTCCTTGTTTGTCAGCTGATGTCTCTGGTTCCCTGTTTACAATTTTGTAGGCTTATTTATTTGGATACTTCCATAGCTGGGTTGGTTTCTGGGTTATATCACGTATGTTAATGGTCAGTTGTTGTTGGCTGTTGTTGCTTCTCTGTCCAAAGGTCCTTAGCATCTCTTGTAAGGTTGGTCTGGTTTTAACAAATTTCCTTAGTTTCTGATTATCTGGAAACGTCCTAATTTCACCATCATATTTGAGGGACAATTTTGCTGGGTACATAATTCTTGGTTGGAAATTTTTCTCTTTCAGGGTTTTATATATACCATCCCACTGTCTTCTCGCCTGCCTGGTTTCTGTCGAAAAATCTGAGTGTAGTCTTATGGTTGTCCCTTGTAGGTAACTTTTTGTTTTCCCCGTGCTGGTCTCATGATTCTTTCTTTGTCTTTGGTTTTGGTAAATTTGATGATGATATGTCTGGGTGATTTTCTTTTGGGGTCTATCCCGTTTGCGTTTCATTGGACTTCCTGAATGGATATATTCTCATCTTTCATCATATCAGGGAAGTTCTCTTCCAACAAATCTTGAACAATTTTCTCGGTGGTTTTATTCTTCTCTTCCTATTCTGGAATTCCAATTACACACAGATTACTCCTTTTGATGGTATCCTACATGAACCTTAGGCTTTCTTCATTTTGTTTTGATCTTTTTCTGATTGATCCCTTTCCAAAGAAGTGTTCAGGTATTAGTCTTCAATCTCCCTAATTCTGTCTTCCATCGATTCAATTCTGTTCCTTTGCCCATTCAATGTCTTATCTATTTCTGAAAATCTAGTATTAATCTTCTGGATTTCTGTGTGCAGATTTTGTATCATTTCTAATTTTTCATTTATTTTGTTCTTGTATTGTCTTTCGAAATCGTTCTAGGGTCTTCTCTGTATTTTCCGTGATCTGTCTCTCAATTTGTTGAAGATACCTAAATATAATTTTTTTGAATTCCTTCTCAGGGAGTTCCAATTCTGTGTCTTCCTCAGGGATGTGTTTTGGATCTGTATCCTGTGCCCATGTTTCTCCTGCTTTATCTTGCTTCTTTATGTGGACTGTGATGCTCTGTTGTCTCTGAGGCATTGTGAAATTTTTGTGTTTATATTTAATTGGTGATTGTATGTTGCAGTGACCTGCCCACGATTTTCGTTTTCTTTGTATGTTATCTACACAAGCAGGGTACTGTGCTCCTCTATTTGCTGGTTGACAGCACTTATAGACTTACCACTTGTCTCTTTTCCTGTTATTAGCCTCTCATATGTCCCTGCCGACCTTGGCAAACAGAGCTTATTCTTAGGTCCCTGGAATCCAAATGAGAATGCTATCACTTTAATATCCAAAATGGTTGCCACCTGTGAAGATTCAAAATGGCTGCGCCCTCAGTCAGTTTAAATATCCAAAATGGCCACTGCTTGTAAACACTCAAAATGGCTGCACCCTTGGTCAGTTTAAATATCCAAAGTGGTTGCTGTTTATAAACATTCAAAATGGCTGCGCCCTCTGGACAGCAGAAAGTCAACAGCTCAGGTTGTCTCCTTCCTTGCTGCTTCCCGTCCTAGTCATAGGCCACCAGCACAGTCATCCCTGCAGCCCTTGGTAATCAGGGCTGATCTTTAGGTCAATTCTCAGGTCCCAACACACTTGGAAATATTCAGGCTGTTGGTCCCGTGAGAGTAGCTGACAGTCCGCAGTTCCGACTGTCTCTGTACTCACTGTTTTCATTCAGGTTTTTCCACTAGTTGGTGCCTAATCCACTTCTGTATAGTTCCTTTCAGAGCTCAGGGCTCCAGGATTATCTTCTGTATCTCTGTCAATTGCCTTTTCTTTTCTTTGTTGAAGAGGGTCTGTGTTGCTTGTCTGCCTATTCCTCCATCTTATCAGAAATCCAAAACATCAGTATTTTTTTAAGGAGTGTGATTTCTCAAAGGACAGCTGCCTTTCTGTGGCAAAAAATATTTGGCTTCAATTCAAATATGACTGTGAGTATCTCTTACTTACAAACATCCTATGCTTATGGCTGTCATGACATTTTTATACAATTTTCATAGCCAACTGGTCCTGAATCCATTAATCACTCTCAGAAGTAATCCTCATGCACTTGCTAAACTAACTAAAAATGTGTCTCAATCTTTCTTTGTCTTTAAATGAACTTGAATTTTTATAAAGTTCAGGGCCAGTTATTTTGTAGAATGTCTTCTTAAGTGGGTCTGTCGGATGGTTCCTCATACTTAGATCCATGCTACACATTTTTGTTAGGAACATTACAGAAATATTACTGTGTCCTCCTCATCACATCAGGAAGCAAATGGTATTAATTTGTTTTATTACTGGTAATTTGGTTAAGATGGTTTTACCAGGTTTCTCTACTGTGAAGGCACATGAAAAACAAAGATCAACTGAGCGACCCCTACAGATTAAAATTGGACTATAGAAACATGGCTACTTATGTTTCTGGACTGGGTTTTGGACTCAGAAGATGGTAATACAATTGGAGAAATTTAAATAAGGGTTGTAACATTAGACAAAAGAATTTCACCAATATTAATTTCCTGATGTAGATAACTATACTCTGGTAACGGAAAAGAATATTTCCGTTTTTAGGAATTGTACGCTAAAAGATTTAGAGGTAAAAGGAGTTTCGTATTTGTGACTAACTCTCAGGTGGTTCAAAGAAATGAAGAGAAGTGATGAAGAAAGGGAGACTGATAAAAATGAGTATCTTATTAGCATTTGGGGACTCTATGTAAAAATACATGGTATTTCTTTGCACTATTTTTTCAACTTTTCTTCAGGTCTGAAATTCTAAATCAAAAGTTTTTTTTAAAAAAACACATGTTTAGGCTCAAGAATTCAATAAATTAAGGAGATTTTTTGGTACTAAGAAGAGGAGGGTCCCAAAGCTGAACTCTAAGTAATCACCTCTGTTTCAACGCTGAGCCACTCATTCAGAGGAAGAGGCAAGGAAGAGTTCAGAAGGTAACGTTACAGGGCCTTAAAGTAAGAAAAATGATAGGAAAATGTTGTTCAAACATGTATACTTAAGAATATACTCACTGTCCAATGTAGGATGGTTGATTGTCATTAATGAGATGGATTTTGTCAATGGAGAAGAAATGGCTGATGTGCAGTAATTAAATCCCTGTGGTTTAGATCTGTGACTTATCTGTGAAGTAAAAATGGAAAAACAGGTCCTGAGTATATATGCTTTCCTATTCCTAGATAAGCACAAAATTTTAAACTCAGACACAACATAGTGAAATAACGCAGTATGGAAAGGGGGTTAATAGCAACAGCTTTATAGTTAGACAAGACTTGAATGTCTCTGCCACATAAAAACTGCTCATCTTCAGAGATGTTAGTTGGCATCTGTAAGCCTCAGTTTTTTCATCTGTAAAATGAGGATAATTAGAATATCCACATTTTACAGTGGTTTTAACACTGTTTCATGGTAAGTGCTTAATAAACATCCACTGGATACATAATCAGGTAAAAATAATTTCACTAGAAACATCAAACTACAAATATTTGTTCTCTGAAAAACTAAATATCCATTATAGACATTTACTTGGGCTATAAATAAAGTTATTTTGATTTGTAAGACTTGGAAACTGAAGGGAAATAAAAACAGTTTCATGATTAAAACCAAAGCAGTAATACATCTCTTCTAAGATTAGACTGCTTCAGAGGGTGACTGAAATTTGACTGATCATTTAATTGCCTCAGTAAGTTATAAGGCCATGTAATCCAACTGTAGAAGTTCCTGCTAGAGTATCCCAGAATGATAGTCACCTAGTGTCTGCTAGTGCACTTGTGGTAGTGAGGCGCTCCCTCTCCCTCCTTTATTTTGAGGAAGCCCATCTCAAGAGGTGACTGACCATGATGGTCATAAATCCACTCCCTTTGTAATTTACTGTCACCGAGTCATTTTCGACTCACAGCAACCCCACAGGACACTTGCAAGCGTACACTTGCCCCATAGGGTTTCCATGGCTGTAAATCTTTACAGAAGCATTCTGCCACATCTTTCTCCCATAGAGCGGCTGGTGAGTTCAAAGCACCAATATTCTGGTTAGCAGATGAATGCTTTAACCACTGTGCCACGAGGACTCTCACATGTGGGAAGGGAAGCAATAAACCTGTTACTAGTATGAACTTGGCTCTACTGCACCAAAGACTTCTGATTACTTAAGAGTGTTTTCCACAGGTAACTATGGGATCAAAGGTAGTTGCTCGGTTTCAAATACAACTGTGAGGTCTGAAAAAAGCACACTTCACTGAGAGGTAGAAAGTCTTTCAACAGGAAATTAGCTGGAGGCAACCTATCTAGATCAGTGATATATAAGCAGCTCAAATATCCACTCTGAGGTTGCACATAAAATGAAAAACTATGGGTGGGTAGAGAGTTCCAGGAAGTCTAAGTACAGGAAGGTGCTAAAATGTTGTTAAATTAATCTAGAAAGACTACATTAAAAAGTGATTTTAGAAGGACATCACTGGTTATTATTAACATCATTTACTGGGAGATAATCTGTCAAAAATCAGTTTCAGAAAAGCCATCACATAAACAGTATTAGATAATTAACATTTTTTCATTTCCTTATTAACATGACTTCTGAGCTTAACAGTGTTCAACTAATAGCTAGTTATATGGCCTTAGGCAAGTCATTTAATTGGGCTTGAAGTTCTAACAAAAGTTTGCGCTAAATCCCAATGGATATATTGACCCTAAGTCTATGGTTCTGTCCACAAATGAACAATTTTGGTACCTACCTGATTTCCACATGATTCAATACATTGAAATGCAATTTATTTTTCAGAATTTCTAGTAGTTTTTACCTTTATCATCAAAGCTGCTCTCAGCAGCTACCAAAACATTGTTCCTTTTTTTCCTTCCCTTCCCTTCTCTGTTATCATTAGGTTAAGTAAATCCAAATTACTTGCTCCAATAAACATATCCTCTACAGTCTCATTATTTTTTTCTAACTTATTCTAAAGTAACAGGCCAAGAAGAAATGGGAAAAATAAAAAAAGTGGCAAAATTCTTTCAGGTCCTCAATTTAATTTTCATTAGGCCTAAATTCTCTTAAGCCCTCACATAAACATAAATGACACACTTATTACTAAGTAATCCTTCAGTGCCAAATTTATATTTGGTAATGGCATTACTATGTAGTAAGATGTAATTAAAACATTATATTTCTATGCAAATTCCAACCACTTATTCAAAGAACAGGTTGTTTAACATTTTTTCAATTTATTTAACTAGAAGTGTTTCACTTGGTGGAACTGAGGTGTATGCTTGAATCCTCTCAGAAATTAATCTAAAATCTTCTTGGCCCAAAAGGGGGAAGGGGAAGAACTGAGGGTAGGGGAGGATACTATAAAAGTATGTAATTCAAATTATCAATCCAAAAACTCCTGGGGGACTGCCAAAGTGACAAGTGTTAATGAGGGGCCTGAGAAGATAAGAATTAAGAACATGGTTTGACAAGGAAGCCTTTCCAATACTTTAAGACAGGAGTTTCAAGAAAATAGCAACGGTGGAAATTAAGAAATCATTAAGTGGTAAGAAAAAGAAGGTAGGGAGTATAGATCATTCACTCAAAATATTTTTGTTTGTTTTTTCAAGGAAGGAGAAACTTGGGATCTGTTTTAGAGAACAGGGACATTTAATATGTAATGTTAAAATGTAACATTCTTCAACACTCGTTTCACCACTGAGGTAGTAAAAGAAGGCTTAGACAACAAGGAAGAACTCAATTTAATATCCTGGATACTTTCCTAATTTTAAAAATTTACTTTGATAGATTATGTACAGAAATCTATACAGATTAAAGGTGTCTCTTAATTAGTATTAGGAGCTCTACTGGCACTGTGGTTAAGGCTGTGAACCAAAAGGTTGGTGATTCAAACCCAACAGGCACTTTGTGGGAGAAAATAAGGCAGTCTGCCTCTGTAAAGATTTACAGCCCTGGAAACCGTATGGGGTCACTATCAGTTAGAATCTACTGTATGGCAGTGAGTTTGTTTTTTAAATTAGTATTAAGTGCTGCAAACTTCCTTTACAGCTATATTGTGCATATTATACAATCGAAAAATAACATAACTACTAACAGAATTTTTGCCTTTTAGTATGGGTCATATTTGAGGAAATAAAAAAGTATTCTCCCAAATTAGTAACCTATACCTGGTTTCAGCCTTACCTGCTGGTCAAACATCCTCTGTTCTCTCTGGCCTGACTCCAGATCCTCCTCAGAAAGTGACATCAAAGAGTCACCCCGTTCCTCACCACTGAAGGGATGTTTGAGCTCTTTGGTGTTTGCAGGGTTTGCTTCTAGAGATGAGGATGGCTTGTTTCTGATACCAGACCCTCCTGTCAAGCCTTCTAGACTGAAACTGAACACAGGGCACAAGAGTTAATTCACTCTATTTCTGAGTCTCAGAAAGAAGGAAGACACAAATCCCACTAGCTGTATCTGTCTTGCTTGTGTATTATTTCTATGTCCCTTAGTAAAATTATTCACAAGGGCACTGTACAAATCAGTATTGCCTGCCTTTTCCCCCTAAGGCCATGGTATGCTGAGAAAGAATACTACACTTAGAATTCTTACCCCATTCAACTTATCCAAATGTTGAACCATCTATGATTTTTTTCTCAGATTTTTATCAGTCTTTCTCTCTCTACATATATATACACGCGCACATGCTTTTCCTCAAGCTGATGTAATCTTTGTCATAGTCCAACCCTACTATGCCAAAGAATTAAATGGCACAAAGAAAATACTAGCATAAGTAACTTCTGGAAGGCAAACCAGGAGACTTGCCTTCGTGCCCTTTGAGTTGACCATCATTACTTTACATTCAACTGCATTTCTTGACCTTTGTAACTTTATAGGCATGCTTCTACCCTAAAACCCAGGTATGACTCATGAGCTTTATCATCTGTGCATGCACACCTGACTGGACAACAATTGCTCAACAAGTTTTCTGAGAATTGTTAGTTGCAGACAAGCACATATAACACCTTTAAAGAAAAAAAAAAAAAAAAAAGCTGAAAACCTACCAGGTCTAAGAGAAAAAAGAAAACAAACTTAGGGTTTGGTATTTTAAGTGGGATGGCAGATATAAAGATTCTGTGGTTTGTATAGCCAAAAGCATTTTCTCTAACCAGGAAGATACAACCCTCATATACTTGTTCTAGCCTTCTAGAGAAAAAGGTTAGTGATCTAGTGTCCTCCTTGGGGCTGTTAGCTGGAATAATTCCCATCTGTAACAACTGCAATGGAAATCTCTTTAAAGCAAGTCAGATTTCAAACTACACTTGTAGCTGACAGTATCTTTAATTACAACCAAGTGGAACTGGATTTGAAAGTATATTGAAGTATTTTGTTACCTCTGCTCAGGACAAACTGCTCAGTTAATTGCTGTACAGCTCATACATTCTTTTACGCCAATCCAGAAGAGTTTGTGTTTGCTTTTTTTTTGTTTGTTTGTTTGTTTCATAAATTGCTTATTATGCTGAGGCCTTATGTCTCTATTTTCTTTAACTGGTAAATTAAGCAATAGATTTAATTTTTCTTATTTGAATATGACAACAGAAATCATGACTAACTGCAAGTAAATGTATCTGTCAAATTCATTTTCGATACCAGGAATAAGAAAAGAGGCTAAGTGAAGAAGAAATTTATTATGAATTATTCAAAAAGCCTGAGAAAACCAGATCTATGCTTACCACAAAAATTAATTCAAAATATATTTTAATAATTCAATTTCTGGCTGCTTAGTTGAGAGAACAATATGAAACAATGAGCCTCTAAAGAGAATCTAAAGAGACTGGTGTATTGCGAACCAAAACAAATAAGTACATCTTTTTAGCCGTCTTGCTCCTCTTTATTGTTTTCCTCCAAATTTCTAGGCTGGGAGTTTAGGACAGACTAAAACAGAGAATAGTCAACCACACCTTGGAGACTAGTCTGAGCAGAAAACACTGAATCTATAGCTATTCAAGACAAACAGGATGCACAGGGGTACACAGTTCGGCTCCTAGGCTGTACTCCTTCAGCTGAGTTAGTGATGCTAACAGTGGAGGCAAAATGCTATGCTCACAGACAAAGTAGGCATTCCAGCCACAAAGAAGCCAGCACCAAGCCCAAAACCCAGATGCCAGGTTTCACAGTTCCACCTTTGGTGGCTGTATGCATAATGATACCATACCTTCTACAAGTAAAGTCAGCACTCAGGGCAGCAGAGTATTGTACACCAGAGGGACACCAGCTCATACTGGGGATGACATCAAAGGCAGAAACAGAAATGGAGGGAGAAAAGAGGAAACAAGGATAGAGTTATTGGGTTTAAAAAGAAAGACAGACAGACAGGTGGATTTATTTAATTATTAAATGATTTGTGAATATAACACTGACTCAGAGAAGGGCTAGACTAAGAGCCATGGAAACCTAAAATTGTTCTATTCCTATCCATCGATAATAATGTGTTAGAAATGAGTATTTCACAGGGCAACCAGTTCAACTTGAAACCCAAGAATTCCTTCCAGAGGGCTGGTAGCAAAAGGCCCACCCTTCAGCTTCCTCTTGAGGCATTGTGACCACCACTATTTGGGACAACCTCTCTATACACCCTACCTCTCCTATGCCATCTGTACTATAGTAGTACTAGTCCATTATCTAAAAGGAAGCACTGGGATTGGCTCACTCAGGCATCAGTATTTTTCATGTGTTTCCACTAAGGATCCATCTAAACCAGATTAATTTGCAAATCTTTCATGACTGGGATACCCAATGAATATCACATCTACTTTCAAACCCCACTCACTAGGATCTTAAGGCATGTAACAATGGTTTCATTTCCTTGAAGGGATTTTTTTCATTAAAAAAAAAATAAAGAAAAGAAGAAGGAATTTTATGGTACCGAAATTAGAAATGTACCTTTTAAATTGGGGTTTGTATTCATTTTCCCAGAAGTTCCTGGGTGGCACAGATGGTTAGGCACTTAAAAATCATCTAATCCCTTGACTATCTGAGCATTATTAATATCTATTCTCGAGTAGTAGGGGCACAGAATTTGGGACTGGAAATACTAATACAATCAGCCTAAGAAATAACCAATTCAAAATAACCCTGATGGGAAATGCAGGATTTCTTATTGACAAAAGCTATCACTGAACAAACATTTTGCTACTACTTGAATGTTGAAATACTAAGTGACATGCCCTTGTTTTCAAAAGGAGATAAAAACAGAGCTGCTGGGCAAGGGTAAACCCACTCAGCACCTTTCTGAAACTTGCAGGTGGGGAGGCCTACATACACTAAATTTCTATCTTGAATGCAGTTAATAAATTTATTTTGTTGATAAATGGGAGTTTTTGGCAGAGGAAAAGAGAAAAGGAAATTGCTGGAGTATATAAAAGCTACTCCTATGGTTCTTCTAAAAGTAAATCTTATAATATCACTTAAAAAGAATTTAAACAGGATAAAATGTTTTAAATCAGATTAAATAAATAATATAAAGCAGACAATCATAAAGCAGAAAGTAGAAGTATACAGCTGAGGTATGTCTTCAGTCTGGTAAGCAGGATCAGACTGATTTATAATTACTTTGTGAGTGGAAGGACGTCTTGCTATATCTCACAAACACACACAGGACTCAGAAGTTAATTCTTTGAAATCATAACTTGATTTCCGAATCTTCAAACTGTTAATAAACAGGCATATTATATCTAAATATTCAACTTCTTATTAAAAACAGACTGTGGAAAATCAGTAACTGATATATATCACCAAACCATCATTTACAGAAATAATCTCCTTCTACCTATTTAAGGATCATTTTTACTCTCAGAATATGTCAAAGATGTAGAAGACAGAAGTAAAAGTTAAGATGAAGAGAATGAAGAGCCTAAAAGGAGTCAGAAAAAGATGTAATAGCTTTTCTAAAGATCTAGGAAGGAACTGACACATGGTCCATCTACTGTCTGCCCTTCCTTGTACCAGAATATTCCTTTCGTAATTAAGAGTATTTTTGAGAACAGCCTAATTTCTATGTCAACTCCTCAATTAGTAGTGATAATATTAACTGATCTTTGGCTTTTCTTGAGATTTAGAATATTCTAGATTTAAAAAAAAAAATCCCTCCCCCAAACTTTTAAATTCTTGTCAAATGTTTCAAATTTACTAGTTAAAGCTTAATACATATTTTTAAATTATACATCATGTTGTTCTTATAGAAGTATGACTATGGGTAAAACTATAAACTGGACATCTTTATGACAGTTACATCTATAATAACTTAGTATCTGTAATTTACACTCCATCCAACAATTTGCCATCTTCTAAACTTGTCACCAAGGGCATGTATTTAATAAATTCACATTGAAGAGCTTTAATGGAAAGCTAGACAAAAATATCTCCTGAGATTCTAGAGACCTTCTACTGAAAAAGTTATTTATCCACTTAACTGGAGTCATGATTATCCGAGACTCATGAGAATATTTACATTTGAGCTCAGTTTTGTGCCTAAAATCTGGAGTTAAAGAAGAGCATTCATTTGAAAAAGACAAAAGTGGGAAAGATCACAGCCTGCTCCTCAACAAACAGCTTTAGCTAATACATAAAAATACCTATTTACAAATGTCTCTCAATATGAGAAACTAACAGTAATACAATCATCATTTTTACATTTTTAAAATGTTTTTCCAAACAATGAGAGACTAAAAACCAAAACAAAACAGGAACTCTGGTAGCTTTGGTGCCTAAGGCATTTGACTGCTAACCAGAAGGCTGGCAGTTCAAAACTAACAGTAATACAACCATCATTTTTAGATTTTTTAAAATGTTTTTTCCAAACCTTCAGAGAAAGGTTATTAATAACTTCTGAATAATAAAAGTAAAACAAAAAGTCAGTTTTTGGAAATTTTAAGCAAATCAGCACTTTTTGACTACAAATGATTTCTCAGCTGATAAATCACTTATTTTTAGCTTAAAAATTGTATTTAACAACAACAACAACAAAAAGGAATTCAGAGACCGAGAGGGGCCTGAGAGATTGGTTTATTTCTCTTTCTTCCTTTAAAGAATGACCACATCAACAATGGAATGGAAACTGCCAGGTGACTGAGGAATTAAGTGTTTCACAATATAACTGAAGAACATGTTGGAAGTATTTTAGGTCCTGTGCATGCACACACATGCTCACACACACATATTTCTGGTTCTTTTTTTTCTTCCCTAGAGAGGGAAAAATGTACTCCCCAGAGTTCACCATGTAGACATAACACAGACAGATTCTCTGAATTCTCCTAGGGAAAGCTGGGTGAGAAACCTACCATAGAAGTCATCTAAACACCAATAAGCAGAAGAGGGAAAAGTATTTTTGATTTTTTTTTTTTTAAAGATGAAAGTAGAATAGGAAAGAACTTCTGATTTAAGAAACCATTTCATATGGAACAGATAATAGCAATAAATAAGTAACTACATTCTTTCTGTCTGACTCAAATACCCATTATTTAAAAGTATATTATCTAATTATGTATTAAGAAAATGGGATGCTTGTTAGTATATGCTCAGAGGTGACATGGTTAGTCAGTCAAGTTAGTGAACTCTGTACCTTCTCCTATGAATGGGAGGTCTCCTGACAACATCCCCAAGAACTCGCATTGAACTGAAAATGAATGGTGGAAGAGGTCAGTGTTGCAGATGAAACAAAATGGGAAACAACTATACCAAATATAGACACTACACTGGGAAGACAGATCATCTCTAAAGAGAAAAGCATAGAAGTAAGGGTAGGAAAGAACATGGAATGAGAGAAATATCAGAACCAAAAAGGCATGACAATTTCTGTGGAGAGTTATTTTGCTCCCTCTTTGCTCCATGGAGTTATTAATCAGATGGCACTGAATAGATTGACTAAATTCTAAAAGTAAAAAACTCTGAAGAGTATGTAAGATCAGGAAAAAAACGGTCATTAAAAACTTTAATTTCTTGAGTCTTTAAAATTCAGGCTATACTATATGTATATAATATTTTAAGAATTAGTCAAACTATTTAAAGTAATCATTATAACCTCTTATTCTAACATAATCTAACAATTGTCTCCAGATTAATTTTAGGATGGTTATGCTAGTAATCTCTGATTTTAAGTACAATATGAGATACCGTGCCATTATATAGATTGAAAATATGAGTAACTTTGGTGATAAGGTTCCAATCTCGGTTCAGTCTTAAGATCATCATGTAATCTTTGGCAAATCATTCAATTTGACCTTCAATTTCCTCAACTGAGCAAGGTGACCAAACTACCAAGTCACATCCAGGGATTCACAGCAGGTTATAAAGAAAAATGGATTACATAAAATATACCCCAGTTCTTTAATGCTGTTATTATTAAAGAGCAGTATGTCCTGTGAAGGAGCTGCTCTTATTCCAGAAAGAGAATCCTGGCAGGACGGATCATCTCCCACCTTTTTATTCTTCTCATAGGTGGGAATGCTAAAATACAAAGCAGCATGGTATGCTTCTTACAGAATCCCAGGTGACTGTTACATATATACCCAGGGATTTTTGTTAAAACGTAGATTCCGATGCAGTATAATTGGGATGAAAAGGCAGGGGTTTGAAATGGTTCAAAGCTCTGGCCAAATCCACCTTATCTTCTCTTAGCTTGCTCCTACACTGAAGTGAAGATTAGGTCACTTTTATGAAAGTATTCAAGAGCATGATATATGGGAAAATACCAACTATTTAATGATACTTAATGCTTTTTATGCTCTTTTGAGGATTAACACTGATAATTAAGTTTATCAACACTTTCTGCATTAGAAAGAGATGGCTTTAATTCCTAAAATGTAATTCATGATAAAGATTCCATATTTACCTCTTAATTGAAATTGACTGAAAAATAGTCCCCTATTTTCTATCTCTGGATTTCACTGACAAAGCTGACAAGAATAAATGTCACCATTTATAAAACACCTACAATGTGACACATTATTTCACTCTATTATTACAAATATTCCTAAAGGCATGTATTTTACAGACAAGAAAAGCTCTAAAGGGTCAACTAAGGTCATCTACATAGTAAGGTGTGGTAGTTAAGTTTGTGTATAATCTTGGCTAGGCCTGGTTGAGTATTCTCCATGATGAGAATGGTAATCAATTCCATGGTGGAATTGACTGTGAGCAGCTGAGTAGCTGCCTTAGGGATGTGGTCTGCTTCCCGTATATAAGGAGAAGTGGTCTCTGGCTTATGGCACCTTGAACTCTGCATGTAGCCGTGTCATTGTTAAGCAGCCTGCCACGCTCTGCCAACCTTGGGACTTACAATGGACTTGAATTAATGGCCTGCCATGTGGTTTGGTAACATCAGGACTGTGCCTTTTTGTCAACCCTGGGCTTGGCAGCCTCAGCAGCCAGCAGCGGTCTGAGTGAAGAAATGCCTCTAGCTTCAGTGGACCGGGAGCTGGAGGCAGAGCTGAAGCTCAAGGCTGAGTGGCTTTCACCCAGCCCCTAGAGCCTGGCACTTTGTACTTGGACTTAAAGCCTCCAAACTGTAAGAGAATAAACTCCTGTTTGTTATGGCCATCCAATTTGTGGTGTATTCCTGTCACAGTGGCAACTAGGTAACCAGAACATAAGGCACAGACCTGAAGTCCGAACACAGGTTTTCCAGATTCTAATGACCGTATTTTTTCTTCCATACCATTGTGTTTTCTAAAATCATTGGCAACTGAAATATCAAATCAGCAACTTTTCAAAAGCAAGGAGACATTGAGAAACTGGACAAAGGGTCTTCCATCTCACCTCCGGTGGTTCATTTCTGCATCACTGGCTGCATTCTTCCCAGGACCCCAGCTGTGCCTCCTGAAAGGGGAGAGAGAGCGCATAGAGCCCCTCAGAACAGAGCAGCTTGTAGGCACCTCAGTGATGCTGTCCATCTCTTCTTCTTCCATTTCAACTGAGCCAGTAGGCTCACTCTCACTCTCCTGCCTTACAGTTCTCATCTCATGGCTACAGAAGCCATCAAGGCTTTGTGGATCTTTGGACTTGTTCAAGTTTGAAATCTGGGAGAGGGACACATCACTGCCATGAGAAGAATGCCGATCTAAGGAAGCTGTGTCATCGGTGGAAGAACTGGATCCAATGATATCACAGACCAGCTGCTCCTCCTCAGGCTGTAATGGAGAGAAAGCATATGTGGTTGAAAACAGCATGAGAAAGTAGATAGCCTGTTATTTCAGATCAAACAAATGGCTTCATAATGGGTCTGAGATGGGTGAGATCACTTTGGCTTCCAGATCGAGCTTTTTTTTTTGAAAGCATGATCACAGTTGGGTTTAAGTTCTCACAATCTCAAATAAAGGACTGATTTGTCCTCTTTCTACCTTCTTACATTAATTCACCTACATCAGAAGCAAATCTTGTTTTTTCTTTCCTACAAAAGGAAAAAAAAAAATCTAACTCAGGTCAGTTCCTTCAGTCCATACCATCAAATGAAATAAAAGGAACCCATTTGTCTCTGGGTTTTCTGCTAAATAAAACTCTGCATATCATACTATCTAAAGTTTTCACAAGCCCTCACTGAAAATGAGGCAATCTGCCCTACTACAAGAATTATGTGCTGATAATTGCTTTTATTGGTCTCTTGGAAAATGTACAATAGCTATGATCCCAACATTTAATGGCTGCCACAAACACCTAAATGAAAGAAAGCTATTCCTTTTTCTCATTTTACTAAGAATTCACTGAGTGTTACCAAGCCAAACCATACATAAAATAATCAGTCCTGGCAATGGACTCTTTCATAAAGTGATGATGTTCTTTTCCCGGCCAACCTCTAGTGCCTAACAGGAATTCTGAAACTCTGATCCTAGTAGCCTGACATTCTCTATTTGCTGAAAGGCATCAGAAGATATAATTTGATAGGTGAGGGAAAAAGATGAATAAAAGTGTCTAAGAGATGCAAGAATAAATACAAAATAATCATACTCTCAGTTACAGATGTGAGCACTGCCTTCATATCTCTACTCTGTACTCTTACAGAATAGGAAGCAGAGAATAGGGAAGAGTATTTTGTGACTTTTTCTTCTTCACAGCATTTTCCTAATTAACCTATCTACTCAGTGTTTTAATTAGCAGTGATGAAACTTACAGTTCCTAGTAAAAAGACACAAAAAAATTATTTGAACAAATGTGCAGAAAACACAGCTTTAAAACATTAATACACCACTTCACAATCACACTATCTTCTTTAGACCTTCTAGACTGCATTTTATCAGTAAATATGAGATTTTTCTTCTCTACAGAATTCAGTTTCTTAGTGTATTTGATCTTTAAATGATATGTGAGGGATGAGACTAAGAAAAGATGCAAAGGGATCGCTGAATAATTAAGTCAGAAAATTCAGACCCAGACTGTCTAACGGACTCTCCCAAGTACAGAGGCAGTGAGAAGCGGAATCAAGATTTGAACCCAGGTTGATTTTAACTCAAACTGTCCATTTTGTTACGTCAATTATTGGACAAAACCCCATAAGAACAAAATCTAAAAGTCAGTATCAGAAATGGTTCATTGTCTTCTTCACTGGATCACATCGTAAAATACTTTGATCAAATCTTTTTAATGCTTCTGCTCTACTTCTAGTTCGTTGTGTAGTGCCTGGGGTCTGGAAAGTTTGCAAATGGACATCCAAGGCATGACAATTGATCTCTATTCTCCTGGAGCAACAGAGGAAGAAAGAGAGTCAGGAACAGAAAAGAAATGGAATGTCTGGCTAATTGCCTCCATGAGCAACTGCCTCCTTTGCTGAGAGGCCAGAACTGGATGGTGCCTGGCTGCTTTTATATACCGTTTTGATCAAAGATTCTATACAAGAATTCTGATCAAAAGGGGAACAGAATTTCACATTCTTATAGAATTCAGACTTTCTGGAGCCACAGAGGCTGGATGAATCTCTGAAACTACGACCCTCAGATAATCTTTAAATCTTATCCCCTGAAATCTTCTTAACATCTGATAACTGAATAGGTTAACTAGCAAAGAGCGTCTGCTTTGAGTCTATTAAAATCTACCGATATGGGATCAAATGGACAAAGGTAACTCGGAAGATTAGATAGGAAATTTAGGGGCCAGCGAGTTTTATGTTGATGGGGGAAGAAAAACATAGAAAAGGAAGCTGAGAATGGTTATACAACTTGAAGAATGTAAACAATGTCACTGAATTGTAGATGGAGAAACCTGAATTAATTTATGTTCTGCTGTGTGTACTGTAAACAACAAAATAAATTACAAAACAAACAAACAAACTGTATTTCACCAAGTAAATTCTGAAACAGGGTAGCTATTATTTTAAAATAAAACGATCAATTTTTGCTGTAAGTTAATGAGGGATTTACTTGGACATCCTCAAAGATTCCTACTCATGGGGTTACTCTTCAGAGGGGGAAACGTAAATTGCCATCAATACCATACCTTTCTCATTCCTTAGTTTTCTGAATTTCTTATTCTCAGAACAATAGTAAGATGCAAACAGAATGGGCATGAACAAAGAAAAATATTTGACAAGTCTGTCCTAAAACATACAAGAAAGGCTTCAAAGGAAAAAAAAGAATCTTAGTTTCCATTTATCTTTGATATATGCTTCTAAGAAGTCAATGCTTCTCAACGTGTAAGAGTAGATAGATACTTCTTACCCTGGCATCCAATCTTGGAAAAATAATACCTTGAAAAAGTCCTTGCTATCTCTCTGGAACTTCAGTGATCCGAAACTTATAAACAGACAAACAAACAAATATTCTTTTGTAAGACACAAAATCAAAATAGGGAAATCATTGGCTGCCTGTTTTTATGTATTAAAATGAAGGAGACCTCTGTGTCTAGAATCCATCTCTTCAATAGTCTTCTTCCTGGGGTGTGCCATGACATTTCCTGGTGTGTGCTTTTAACTCTGATCTCACCAACAAACTAAATGACCAGGAGTCTTTTTGCAGTACTACATGATTTCTTAAGCCTTTCATTCCTGATAAGAATTAAGTATCCATAGTAATATTCTTAAACTCAAGTACTTTTCAATTCTTATTATGAGCTAATGGTTGTTATTTGAAAATGAAAAATGAGACAAAATTCAGAAATAAATTACTTCTTACCCAAGACTTATTAAGTGTTCTCAAAAGAATTTCCCAATTTCATCTTATCTTTAACAAAATTTCTGCAGAGTAGAAAGTAGTCCATGGCCTAACTAGAAGTCAAGAGATTCAGAATACAGTCATGACTCTTCTCTAAGTACGTGAGTGTAAATTACTTTTTCTCTTCACTTTCCTATATAACATGAAAGAGTTAAACATATGACCTTTAGACCTAAAGAAGTTAGAATTAATATAAGGCATACTGACAAGTGTTAATCATCTAGCTAAATTATTGATGACAGAAGAAAGAAGAACTGCAAGGTTTCAAACTTTTGATTTTTTTTTGCAAAAAAATACTCCTTTCTCATACTTGCATTCATTATGCTGAAGTTTTTGAGACACATGCCAAATAAGAGACCAAAGAACTACTACTTCTCCACTCACCCCTCCAAAAAAAGCACCAGGTTTTGAGGATGCTATATACATTCATTCCTTCATTCTGTTGTACATAGGGTCACTAGGAGTTACAGCTGACTTGGCGACACCTGACAACAACAACATGATAATTCTCTGGGTTTTTGGTAGTCAGCAGTATTAGCTCTGTTACTATAAGAAACAAGGCTCTCTTTCAGGGCACAAGTGGAAACATTGAGGTCTTTCATGAAGCACTTGAGATGTGACTCTGAAGCCCTCAGTTCATCTCTTTATTTCACCACTTTGTCTATTGTTAATAGGACCAACTATCTAGCTTCTCTACCCAGAGCCTTGCTTCTCACCAATATTGGCAGTGACATTTTGCATATCAATACTGCCACCTCATGACATGGATTAGCAATGCCCTCTTTACTAATGGATGCATACTCATCAGTGCCTTTAAAACTAGTTAGACTTGAGAGCCAATTTAGAAAATGCATCCTTATAATTTTGTTTCTCTAGAAGCACTCTCATTACCAAATGTCTTGGGCTAAACCAGTGAAGATTATGTGTGTGTGTGTGTGTGTGTGTGTATGAATAATCAAAAATCAAACTCATTGCCACGGAATCAAGTCCAACTCATAGCAACTCCAAGGCTATAAATTTTTACAGAACCTTCCTCCTCTTTCTTCTATGGAGTGGCTAGGAGGATCAAACCACCAACCTTTTGATTAGCAGCCAACTCTCTTAATCACTTAAAAAACAAATCTATCCTGGAAGTAGTACATCCAAAATGCTCCTTAGAGGCAAGAATGGCTACACTTTGTCTCACTGACTTTGGTCACGTGGTGAGAAAGGCCCAGTCCCTGGAGAAGGGTATCATGCTTTGTAAAGTGGAGGGTCAAAGAAAAAGGGGAAGATGCCTCAATGAGATGGACTGACACAGTGGCTGCAATGATGGCCTCAAACATAGCAAGGATTGTGAGGATGGTGCAGGACAGGGCATTTCTGTTTCTGCCGTACACAGGGTCGCTGTGAGTTGGAATTGACTCAACGGCACCTAACAACAACAGCAACATATATATTCCACTTATATGGTAGTAGGGAAAAAAAAAGTTACGGCTTCCAATGCATGATGGAATATTCCATGTCTAAAATTTGAAGTCCCTTTCAAGAGTTTTTGAGTTATGTTTCAGTCTTTCTTTAAAGAGATTTTTAATCTTAAAATGTCAGCTTACTAAATAATTTTCAGGGACTTAGAAAATTATACCTAGTAGTTTGGAAGAATGGTGCCATAGTTATCAGTTTAAGTAAGACGTGGTTCATATGGAGTCAAAATCAGGTGATAATTCTGGTCTTGTAAAGCTGACAGCCTAAATACAAGCTTGTTCTTAACATTCTGCTATAAATAAACTTCAATTTTCAGATCAAAATGTATTAAGACTGGGTTGGGGCAGAGCCACTATCCATCTGTCAGTCTGTCATACTGTGGTCATTGATATGATGCTGGAAGCTATGCCACTGGTATTTAAATACCAGCAGTGTCTTCTATGATTGACAGGTTTCAGGAAGAAAGGCCTGGTGGTCTACTTCTGAAAAGTAGCCAATGAAAATCACATGGATCACAATAGAATAAT